GTCCACTTTGATCCTGATCCTGGTGCTTTGATCTTGATCCCAGTGCTTTCGGGCCATTGGATATGGACAATCTACTTTGAAATGTCTAGGCTTTCTACAGTTGTAGCACAACATTTGAGCTTCTTCGGGTTCACGCCTTTTGAAATTGTTGGATCTATCATCTGATCTCTCAGGATACTTTCGGTTTGAGGAGCTTGGTGAAGCTTGAGAATCTTGAAAATTATTCTTCCTCATGAACCTTTTGAGCTTCCTTACAAACAAGGTAAATTGTTCGTCAGATAAAAAATCTGAGGGGTTAGATTTTGACCTGCTTGAAGTAGAGGGTTGTTGACTTGCAACAAGAGCTATATTTCTTAGTTCTGGTTCTTCTGAGACCTTTGGTTCATGTTCAAACTCATAAGCTTTAAGGTCGCTAAAGATCTTTGAGGTTTGAACTGACTTAAGATTTCGGTGATCTTTCATTGCCGTCACTTTCATGTCCCATGCTTTCGGGAGTCCACGAAGTATCTTTAGATTAATCTCTTTCTAGTTTGGTTCCTTCCCTAGGTCAGAAATCTCACTCATCAACTTTTTGAACCGAATCTACATCTGACTGATGGTTTCATTAGGATTCATCTTGAAGTCTTCAAATCTCTTCATGGCAACTGTTAGCTTATTTTCTTTCTCCTGTTAATCTCTTTTTCCTTATCTGCATGAGAACTTCTCATATTTCTTTCGCAATCTTGCACTTCCTTACTCTCGGAAACACTGACTCGTCTAGAGATTTATACAAAATGTCTTGTGCAACATTATCCAGATTTGCTCGAGTTCTTTCTTCTATAGTATAGGATTTTTTGGGCTTGATGATCATCTCCTTTGCACCTGCTCCTTGAGCTGCTGCATGCGGATTAACCATCATATATTACTGTTATGGGTCCATCAGTTATCACATCCCACATTTCATCATGTATTGCCGAAAGATGTGCCTGCATTCATATCTTCTAGTCATCAAATTTAGCACGATTGAATGCATGATGCCTAGAACGATGACCATGATCATTTTCCATTTTAAAAAACTTGTGCAAAGATGAAAATTATGTGATTTTGAATTTTGAAACTGGGATCGACCAGGCAGTATGTGCGCAAAGCGTTTACCATACAAGGAAGCTGCTCGGATACCACTTGTGGAGAGCTATTAGGAATATTCTTCCTACCACCACCAATCTACTTTTAAGAAGAGTGGATGTGAACCCTTCATGCCCTATGTGTGCTATGTATAATGAGGATGTTATGCATTCTCTTGTTGGGTGTGATTTTGCTCAATGTGTATGGCATGAATCACACTTCCCAGTATCTTGTGTGTTAGGGGACACTTTTTCTGCTTGGTTTTGGAATGCTATGTGTGTGCTCACTGGTGCTTTCACCAAAACTCATTAATATTACCAAGTATTTGATACTCATTTCGATTCCGATTCCTATTTGTGAACCAAACACACCCTCAATATTGACCGGACCCTTTTCTACAAAATATTTAAGACTTATATTTTATTAAAAAAACTCTTTTATTTCTAATTAACAAAATATATCAACTTTCCTAAACATATTTATTACTTAATTATTATCTATCTAATTTCCTAAACATTTTTAATTAGTAGATACATTATCAATTGTTCACAAATAGATACATTATTAATTGTTTCCAAACATTTAATCACACGTATTGTTATTTAAATCTCTTAATTAAAATTAAATTAGTATAACTACGAATTGTTCAATTATTAACTAATTAACGCGTGATTAATAAATCTCTTATTATAAATTTTGGTTATTACATCACCCGTAGATTTTAGAATAAATCACAAATGTAATAAAAGAGTGATGATACTATGAATACTTTTTTATGTAACGTACATTATTTAATTGAGTATTTCTCTTCATCTTAAAAATAGTATCTCACGCATCTCCCGAGTCCCGACTCTATTTCTACTTTATTATAATAGCCCATGTTGCTTTTGCTTTAAAAAAAAAAAAAAAAAAAAAAAACTTTATCAGAAATAAAATTTATTTTCAATCATAATATTTTAGCTTAAATATTTCTAAAACCAATTATTATGCTACAACTTTTAAATAAAACTATTTTATGGCCCAACATTTTATTATCCAAAATTTATCTGAGACAAACCTGTCAAAATCATATTATAACTATTTTAATTTCTAAGCCCAAATGATTTATATCCTTAAGCTCAATAATTTTTCTTGAGTCAAAAGGTACTGGAGCCCAAACTTTTATCCCAATTTCAAAATAAAATCATATTTCCAACCCTAACCCTAACCAACAATAGTTATGCCATGTACCCGGATTCACCTTGTAAGGTGAACTCGAGTCAAAATATACAATTTATACACTGATTTTTCACAATTTATAAACTGAATGTTCACAATTCAAATTGTGAACATTCAGTATGCAAATTGTAAACATTTAGTATATAAAATTGTGAACATTTAATATATAAATTATTAACATTTATTATATAAAAGTTGTGAATATTCATAAATTATAACATTCAGTATATAAATTGTGAACTTTTGAACCGGGTCCACCTTATAAGGTGATCCCGAATCCACAAAAAAATAAAAAATAAAAAAAATGCCCCTAACCAACCACTCTACAGCCAAGTAACGTGAAGGAGCTTTGTCTCCTTCTTCGTTCTAAAATTTTGCCTTCTCTTTGTATCTAAATAAGAGCCTACACACAGTGGCGGATCCAAAAAATATCTGAGTGGAGACGAATATTAAATGATGTTAGAAATGTCAATGACAAAATATCAAACAATCATAATAAGGTTAAAATACAAAATACATTATAAATTACAACATATTTATGAGAAAATATGAAACATAATCAATTAGATAAAATAATTTGGGTAACGATATATTTATAAATACTTTTAAATTTTAATTTCTTTTAGTTAGATCGATATTTCTAAATTAATTCGAATACAATGAAGTATATTATAAACTTGTATCCTACATTAATTAAATAATTTATAAAAACTAGACTAAAATAGTATTTAATTTGTTAATTAAATGGTTCATAAAAAGTAGACTAAAAACATCTAATTTATCTTGTGAAGAAATGAAAGAGGGAAGATAATTAAAAGTGTTGCTAATGAGATTTGAACACATAACATAAGCCTTTTATAACATAAAATTTAGAGTTTAATCAACTAAGCTATTCAAACTATTGATATTTTCAACATAAATATAGATTTTATATGATATTTCATGCTATATACATATATATATATAAAGGGGTGGGGTGGGGGGAGTGGGGGCAGCTGCTCCCACTTCTCCAACACTGGGTCCGTCCCTGCCTACACACCTCGTCGTCATATAAAAATTGTGAATATTCAATATGTAAATTGTGAATATTCACTATATAAATTGTGAACTTGTAGACCGAGTCCACGTTACTAGGTGAACCCGGATCCACATAATAATTTGCCCCTAACCAACCAGACTACAGCCAAGTAACGTGAAGGAGGTTTGTCTCCTTCTCCCTTCTAAAATTCACGTGAAGGAGCTTTGTCTCTTTCTTCCTTCTAAAATTCTGCCTACTCTTTGTATCTATAAATAAGAGCATACCCACCTCTTCTTCATATAAACACTTATTTCTTGAATAAATATAATCCCTCCTCCCTCTCGTTCTCCAAACCCCGGATTTCTTCTCAAGCAACACAACCTCCAGATATCTTCCGTGTCTCTCCCTCTCGTTGCTGGTCTCCCTTTTTCTCTCAGCTCCGACAATCACCGTTCTCACTCCTCCTATCATCACGGGGCAGAACCACGGCCTCCACCATCTTTCTTCTCTTCCGCTCGGCGAACCACCGGCCTTCCTCACATTTTCTCTCGGTGTTGACCGGCGGTGTATTCGGAGAAGGTAACGGCGGCGTATGTGCTGATGTTGAAGATGGTGAGTTTTTAATGATGTAGTGATGTGTATTTTGTGATAAAGAAAATGATAATGATGATGATAAGTTTTAATTTGTTGATGAGGATAATGAAATTCTTTTAAGGATAGATGATGTTGAGGTGGGTGATAAGGATGAATGATAATGATGGTGACGAGGCAGTACTAGTATTTGTAATTGGTAATTGGTAATATTAAAATAATCTTGTGATAGATGACATGTAGTGGCTCTACCGATAGTACAATGTAATAGAGTTAGTAGCATTCAAAAAAAATTATAATAAGATTTGATTGGTCCACAGGTTCCTATCGAGGTGAATAGGATGCTTAGTTCCTATCGATTTGATTGGAGTTTTGGAGTTTTAGTTCTTGAGGTAAGTCTTTATGTCGGTTCAAAATTACTTTACTCTATAAATTGTGTTACTTGTGATTTTGTATCCCTCAACTACTATAAAAAATTCTTTAGTTTCTAAAATGTGATAGATAGCCAAATGTGTATATTTATGTGTTGACTCGTGTTTTATAAACCCATATATATGTGAATATGTATTTATCTGAAATACTAAGAAAATTATATGAGTTGTAGTTATTTTATTGAGTGGTGAATAACTTATGAAGTGTATAAATGATTTACATGTTGAGATTATTAGAATTATATTTATTTTGGAGAAATTATTTTTGAAAATCTTAAGTATCGTGGAATTAGTAATATTATGCTTACTTTGGAGGATATAAAGTGATAAAGTATACTTATATTTGAAGTATATAAGCTATATGTTATTTTGGAGAAAAATATATTTTTTTTATATAAACCTTATTTTGGAGGAAATGGTTATTGATGGATTATACACCCTCCCTATGCTATTTTGAAAAACTATGTTTGAATAGCCTGTGTCAATGAAAAGGTTATGAAACCCTATTTAGAAAAGATCATAGACTATTATTATTTTGGAGGACTCATATAAAAATGTATTATTTTGAAAGTTTATCCTTTTTTGTGTTGGATTGTGTAGGAGGTTGAGCTTCGGCTATATATGTTAGATTGTTGATTGAGCTCTAGCTCTATTTGATTGTTGGTTGAGCTTCGGCTCCATTTGATTATTTGGTGGAGTAACCTGGTAGAAAACATTCTGGGTTACTACTTATTAGGATTAGTAACTACCTGTTGGGCTTGTAATCCCAATTAAGGGGTGTGCACACTTAAGATTATAGTTCTGTTTCTATTGGTATTGTGATTGATAGTGGTTAAGGTTCCGCTGGTAGGTGGTGGTAGCGGTTGTGTGGGAAGCACCGTTCACTAGGATTCGCTACGGTGGAGTTCCTGCCTTACTTGGCCCATTGTTGCCTCCACACTTGTAATTGATATGACTCTTCGATATTGATATTGAGATGATGATTGGGATACCTCCACTTATATATTATTATGCTATGTTAATACTAGAGAATGAGAATTGAATTATCTATATGACTAGGATATGATGTGAATACCTCCATATTCATACATATGATTATATATACATGTTGAGAATGACTTTGAAAATCTATATCTTGAAATGATTACTGGTTGAGTAAACTATATCTTGTTGTGAATTCCTCCATATATACTTGTATATGTAAATACTATGCTTTGGAAAGTTATGTTTTGAAATGATAATGATATTTAGAAGTATTATATTGAGATAATGTTTTATGAATCCTCCATGCTTATGTTATTTTAGAAAGTGCTAAGTACTATTATTTTTGAGATCTCTATTACCTTGTATGAAACCAAGTGTGTCATGGTATTGGTGTTTAAACTATTTCGGAAATGATCTAATACCTATTTTTGGTGTGAGTCAAAACTATTTTACTCAAATTATGTATCTATTTATACATTTGACTAAATGTTTTCTAAAGTATGGATTATCTGAATATCAAAACCTATTTACGAAGTATATTTATTTTCAAAATTATAAATGTATGTATTTTTACAGGATGGTGTAGAGCTTACTTAGCAATTATGCTAATCCTTTTGTTTGTGTTTTCCAAACTGTTAATATTTTCAGGATACGATAAGTTGCTTATCGTGATAGTGTATAACACTCCGTATTTTCAAACAGTCCTCTACTTCCGGCAACGGCGTCACAATGGAGTGCGAACCAGCAGCAGCTACTTCATCCATGGGAACAATACTTGAAAGTTGGAGGTGTTGCCATGGAATGTGCTTCCCATCTTCAAGCTCGCTACAGCTACTTCAACACAGACGATGATCATGCGACATTGTTAAGTTTTAAGAGCAAGATTCAAGAGCCATGCACAAGAATGTGTTCGGAATTGAGCCAGGCTTTGGAAGCTATATCATTAACCATGAAAACCATGTCTCATCCGACGCCTGCGATCCTAGACCAACTGTGGAACTCTAGAGCCGCCATTGATGATCTTGAAGTCTTGTTCCGAAGCTCAGCAACGAAGAGCTTCGGAACAGGACTTCGAGATCATCAATGGCGGCTCTGGAGTTCCGCAGGTGGTCTTGGATTGCCGGCGTCGGATGTGTAATGGTTTTCATGACTAATGATATAGCTTTCAAAGCCTGGCTCGACTCCGAGCACATTCTTGTGCATGGCTCTTGAATCTTGCTCTTAAAACTTAACAATGTCGCATGATCATCGTCTGTGTTGAAGTAGCTGCAGAGAGCTTGAAGATGGGAAGCACATTCCGCAACACCTCCAACTTTCAAGTATTGCTCCCATGGATGACGAAACTTGAACTCGCCATGACCAAATTCCCACCATGCAAAAAGTGCCTGTATGCGTATTCAATACTTGTATTAATTAAACTGTTCCATCCATTTTTATAGTTAGGATTGTTCATTTTATGATCGATGTCTGATTGTGTATTTGTTGATAACTAATGATCGATGTCAAGTATATTTAGAAATATTTGACAGTGCATTTGAAAAAAGAGTTAACTCATATAAAATGGTACGCTATGTAATTAATTAAATTAACATGTTTTTTTGTTTTTTAGAAATTACAATAAATTAACATTTTATAATTTACTGAACAAGTACAAAAGCATGGACTTGTTAAAATTGTACGTGAAACTTCTTTAGTCACATTATATATTAATTAATTTAAATTGCACGTTAATTACTATATATCCATTGGTAGTAGATCCATTGTTGGTCCCGGTAGGGTCAGAGAGAGTCTAGAGGGGGATGAATAGACTATAATCGATTCGTTCTTGATTTTTCTCCTTTCGGAAATACGCACAGCGAAAATGTTATTTCAAGTTAAATTTTCTTTGCACTCTTTCGAGTTTATGAGGAAATGCGTACGAAAGTAAAGGCGATAAGTAAAGAGAGGGAGACAGAGAGATTTTTATAGTGGCTCGGCCAACTGTGCCTACTCCACTCTTCTTTCACAACTTGTGAAACGGTTTGCACTATCACTCCTAGTACAAACTACTTCAATCTGGCTTCTTTGATCACTAAGCCGGACAGCCACTTGACAGGTTTTTCAACTCCTAGAGTTTACTCCGCCTCTATCAACTAACTCCTGAGTTGAGATGTTGGGAAAGAAATTTGGTGTTTCTCCAACAGATTGAATCTTGTCTTGATGTCTGAATAGATCTTCGCTTGATGAAGGAGCAAGACAGTTTCAGGTTGTGAAGTATGAGGAAGGATATGCCTTTGAAAAACTTCACAACTAACACTGGTTATGAAAATCTAAGGAGATGGAACTACTTTGAAATGCTTTTCGTAGATTGGGAGACTGAGTTAACCAGCACCTTCTTCAATGGTGAAGAGGGGTATTTATAGGTGGAAAAATTCATCCGTTGGAGGGAGATGAAAATTTCAAACCTAATAACCAGTGTGTATTACTCAGTGGGCAATGAACATTAAAAGCATTTGTACTGTGTAGCCGTTGGAACAAAAAGCATTATGGCTTTTGTCCTTGTTCACTGACAAGATATTACAACTCTTTTAATGCTCCTTGTCTTTAGTGAAAATCATTCCTAGAACACCTTTTGTTCAAATGATTTGCCCAACTGATTGATAGACAACATTCTCATTGTTTCCATTAAAAGAGAGTTATCTTTTAACAAGTCTGTCCTTGACTTGTATATTTGGGGCCGAAAGATTGTCCTCATCTTTCGTCATTTCCTCTTGAACGAAAGTCCCTTTTGTCGAAGCAGTCCGTCCGAGACTTGCTTTAGTCCTCCTTTCGTTTGCAGGCAACTTTCGATCATCTTCGAGTCTTCATGTAGACCTATTCTACTAGTCTCGTGCATGATTTAACATTTCATGACTATGTCATACGAAACTTTCTATTAAACAAAAAATAGGGGTCTACATCCTAAGACAGTTTGGTATCATCAAAATCTATAAACACTTGTTCCTAACAATTTTCCCATTTTTGATGATGTCAAAACCTATATTCTTATTCATAAGGCTGAAAGATGCCCTTTAAAGGAAAATTCTATTACAAAACAACCTTATTCAAGAGTGTACAAAAGGATTTATAAAAAATTATAAGAATGCATTAGTTAAAGATCGAAAGTACTTCAAAAAGATCACGTAAAGATATTCATTAAGCAAGATATTGATTACAAAATAGGAAGTACTCGAAAAGTAAACACATTACAGGGCCAAGAGACTTTGTTTCGCTTGTTGAGCTTCCATCCTTTCTCTGTCGTCTCGTTCTTTTTGCTCCTCGAGCATATTGTCAAAGTCTATGTCATTGTTGACATTAATTCTGACTTCTCTGAGTGGTCTTTCACGAACTTGAGCCTCATATTTTTCTCCAAAGTTATAGCTCGTGTAATTGTTGTAAGCTTCTAGGATGTTTCGTCCAGAGATGGTGCCATGATTCCACCATGTTATAAGCTCTATGGAATTCATTCCATCAACGTAGCTTTTCCTGGATTCTCGGTGAACCTTTGCTATGGCATCATATTTGACATCAAAGTCTGCATCTTTTCTTATCTTTGAGACATCTTTGATTTTCTCCTGTGTCTCTTGATATCTCGTGAGTTCTTGTTTCCTTAGGTTTCTTGCTTCTTCTTGTTTAAGCCTTCTAGCTTCATTTTCCTCTCTTATTCTTTTGTTCTCCTTCCATTGATAATCTTGACGAGTGTGATCATCCCTTTTCTTCAACCAGATTGACATATTGTATCCTTCAAACCTTAAACCACTTCCTTCTTTGTATTCTTCATAGTCAACGAATATTCCAGCTCCATCCATTGTTACTTTGTCATCTCTCATCAATTTTCGTCAAAGCTAAGATTTATCTTCTCTCGATGGGATAGTCCTGCAAAAGAATACTTAGAATATGAACCATAGGAAGGTCTTGGTCTTTTTTACTGTCGCCGAGACTTGGAAGGTGTTGCTATTGGAAATAAAGACCACAAGCCACTGGACTGGTGTGATTATAGTGAACCAAGAGATATGTCTAAAGGGGAGACATAATGTCCATTATATAGTGTTGATGATCCCTCTTGATGCTTTTACAAGTGTATGAGCTTGGTTATTATCTAATATTAGCCATACATATATCTCCGCCACTACTATACTTTGTTGTCAATGCTCTTCATATAAATAAGTAAAGCATCCCGTCCTATGACAGACAAGATATATAGTAACTTAGTGGGTTGATAGGCGTTTAGCCAAGTGGGAGGTCGTAGGTTTGATTGTTTGAACCTTGTTGGCTTGGTACCTCTTTACCAGTTTAATCCCATCTTTTGGGTCACCATGCTTCCTTCATTCCTAACTCCCCAAGACTTTTATTCTTTTAAGGTCAAAACCTCACCAATAAAAATGCACTTCTTGGACTAAGTGTTAGAAATAATTTATTCCTAACGTTGATTCATATAATTAAGGTGTCATGCTCATATGAATCAGTGGGAAACTGTTAGAAATAATTATTTCTTAACAATGATTTATATAATAAAGGTTGTAATTCCATAAGGTACTCACGTTGATGATCAGTGATGTGTAAAGCGAAATTACTGGGTGAAATTCCCTCCCTCTCATTCTGTTAAAATTTAAGTTTATAAGGGTTAAAAGATGTATAATGGATAAGGTTATGGGTTTCACAATCCTAAAGGGATTTCTATTCCTAAAGGAGGTCACATTCCTAAAGGGATTTCTATTCCTAAAGGAGGTTCCCCATTCCTCTTGAAAGAGGGTTTCTCACCACATCTATAAATACCCAGGAAAACTCTAGGGATCTTAACAGTTTCAAATCTCTAAGTTTTCTAGTCTCCATATCATCAGGAGGTGAATAAGGTATACGGATCAGAGAGGTGAAGCATTGTATTCTTGATTCATTCAATTTAGAGATTACATCTTCAATGGAACCAAGTAAGTCCTATCTTCCCTATTTAATTAAAAGTCTATGATCATGAACATTGTTTAGTTGATTGATTTGATTTACATGCGATCATTGTTAATTGTGCTTCCGCATTTAAGTTATAGCGCATAAAGGATTATTTAACACTAAGATCTTCCCAGTAAAATAGTTCCAAGGCCCATGGCCCCATCACGAGTCCCTCAGTTTTTTTTGTTGTCTTTGACAAACAGAGAAAGTATAGACATTACTAAACTTCTTCACATCTTGACCCTTTGACTCTTAAGCCAAAAGGTTCTCATCTCTTTCGGATAGTACGGTCTTTGCTACATTCCCTGCATGCGGTTTAGCAAGACGTCTTAGCTCTTGCACGTTCACTACAAGAAAAAAAAAAAAGATGTTTTCTTTGTTGCTTTCCCTATATGCGGTTTACCCGACTACTTTATCCCATGAGGTGCAGTACCTCCTTGGAGCTCCTTCCTTGCTTGTGGGTCCATCAAGGATGATGCACGGTTGCCTTTCCTGCTTTATTTCATTTAGGAATAAGGGTCAAATAGGCCATCGAACTGCACACGATAATGCAATTAAGCCACTGAATCTTTCTACCATCAGCTAACGTTATCAACTAGTTATACCCTCTAATTAATCCAATCAGCTAACAACTAACAACTAACAACAATTTACCAAACAGGGCCAATATATTAACTGAATACAGATAATATGCAATTAACATATTATTACGTATTTGCTTTCAATTTGTTAATTGTAGACACAATAACCATGTTTGGTAACATAGTTAGCTTATTAATCAATTTTAGTTTGGCTTATTTGACCACTATGAATGTTTGGCTAATCAGCGTTTTATGACAGCTTATTACTCCAAAACACTAAAATTCAGAAAACTAATCAAAACAACTTTTTGAAAAAATAAATAAACCTTTGAAGATCTTTTTGAATGTAAGCAACTATCAGCTAACAACAAATTAATTTACCAAACATCTTTCTACAACTAGCTAATACTATTAGCTAGTCAAATCCATCAACCCAATCCCTTGACAGCTAAATTAATCCGCTAACAGATAACAGCTTGATAGAACACTAATGCTTCCTCATGCGATTCAAACTCCATACCAGCTAGTGGCTCAAGATTTACATCTTCTTTAATTTAAACTCCCCCACATCAGATTGCTCTGAGAATACAAATCACCCCATCTTCAGCATGCATATTATATTCTCTTCAAAATTAAATCCACCAGATCTCCTCCCACTCCATCCATCAGCACCGTCAAGCCTCTCTTCATTGTTAAGCAAATTAACAAAACCATTTGTTTCTTTGTCCTCTTTATCCATGATAACTTCTAAGTTCTTTCTACTCTGTGAACTCTGAACTGAAATTTTAAAAAAAAAAAAAAAAAAAAAAAAAAAAAAAAAGGTAAAAACATGTCAGATCACTTGCAGGTTCTTCTAACAAACACCTTTAGCATCATCCAATTCTGGATTAAACATTTGAGCATACCACTAAACA